CATCATAAGCGTGCAGTGGTTTAAATACACCCGTAACAATTTTGATGCATTAGAATTGGACATTAATCTATACACAATATGCTGTCACATACTATTTTATAACAGAAGTAGGTAAATTATTAAGATACAATAATCACACGTTAATATCCAGTATTATAGCATTATATCTACATTGTTATCCACCGTTTTTGTAGTACCAACCTTTAGTATTGTATTGTAACAAGATCATTGCCCACCGTTTTTGTATTAAACGTTGGTATTATGTACTACAAAAACGGTGGACAATGGCCTTTTTTTTAACTTAATTGTAATTTTTTATGTCAAAAAAGTTATAAACCAAAATGAAATAACGTTCGTGTTATAATAATACAGAAGTATTTCAGATTAGATGTCATATCTTTGTCAAAAAAATAAATATTAAAGTTTGAGCTCGCCAGTCTTAAAAGAATAGATATTTGCTAATCAGGCCATTTATATTCATTTTCATATAGTTGATTTATCCTACTCCACCGAGCAGCCTGTCTAGGTGTATTAAAATTAATCGGCCTTAAAAAAAATGTTGTGTAGGTGGTATGTTTTAGTAATGCCTAAAGGATTTTCCAAAAACAAGAAGAAACATCAGCATAATCATATTTTCGAAACATCTGTCATTTAGAGTTTTTATCATAACAGTCCCGATAAGAGGTTCTGCTCCCAAACTTTTCTTTTTTTAACAAAAAGCTCGTCAGTTTCCAGATGTCACCGTCGCCCTCTGTCGGTGATATCAACATTTGCAGTTTTATCTTTTGCGAACTTAATATTCAAGCCCAAAAATGATGGATTATCGGTAGCGCACGAGAGAACAATGTACACTTGAATCTTGTGTGCTCATGCCATTAATCATCTGGTTGACAGCTAGTGATCCTTGCTGGCTGAGGTGATCGGTTATAATGTTGGGCTCGTGGCCTGAGGGCGGAGCTAAAAGTACACAGTGCGTCGAATCAAACAGCTGTTTTTCATCTGCTGTACTTTAAGTTAAAAGCAGGCAAAAGCTGCACAGGATGGTGAATATGACAAAATAAATATAACCGGAAAAATCCGTAGGAGACGACCACATATCTTAACATTCAAAATCCGAAATAATACATTCATTCATGCATAATTATTTTTTCATTATATGTTCACAATTTTTGAAAAGTAAAAGAAAAAACTTAAAGGTTCAATTAAACCTTTGATCTTCTTTTTAATTTTCCTTTTCCTCTCCACTTTATATTTCCTCACCAAAAGCTACAGTAATAATATAAGCTGCTTGCATGACTGTTGACCTAATGCCCACATATACAGAGAGTTGAGTACGTTACATCAAAACGATTTTGCCACATTCAGTGATACTCTGTTTGACGACCGTGCATCTTGACAATATTCCTGCAGCATAATTTCCATTGCAAAAAAGCTCTATCGTAAGGTTGTCATGCCAAAAGCACACCACTCCCCCTTTCTTGCATTCCATTATACATATAGTGTACGAGGTTAACGGTTTCACAGCACCCGTTTCAACAGCCCGATCGCTAAAAAAATCCAGTACCGCCTCTAAAAGTATTTGTTAATAATGAGTGGGGTTCTGGCTGAAATTCACCCAATTACAAATATATAAGAACCATTCAATTAGTGGCGTTGGAGAGTGTACACAAACAAAGCGAATGCGGTTGGCTTATTAAAGTATATGAATTGATCACGTGCCAAGGAATCGTGTAAATGAAGACTAATCCTTACAAAACATGTTAATCACAACTTTTAAAATTGCACACACGTTTTGCGGTGAAGTTGATTCTGATTGATCATTTTTTTCCATAATACTGATACGGAAAGAATGGATTTGGATATTAATTTCCACCAAGGACTTTAGTACCAATGCAGATAGTAACCAATATGAGGGTACAGCCTTAGAGCAATATTTTGTTTGTACAATGTTTCTACAATGATTAGAGAACTAATGTGGATACGCTCCCATTAAGAGTATTTCAAGATACTATCTTGGGTGTCCGCAGGGGGGAGGGTAAGAGACACTTGCCACCTCCACCCCGGAAAATGAGAAACATAATTTATTTAGTATACATATATGAATTTTTTTATTCACTTCACAATTTCACACCAGTTTGCTCCCTTCCTGGAAAACTTTCTGCAGACGCCCATGTATACTATATTTTAAGATGACGACATGCACATTCAACAGAATCAAACTAGAAGAATTGGTCTATTCAGGATGTTAAAGCGGAATCGTTAGGACAGCTAATGTTAATAAACATCTCCTAAAGTATCAAAAGAACGTCGGATCAACATAAAATACGGACAAATCGTGCATCCTTCCACTGGAGACTATAAAATGGAAAATGACGATGTTATTAATGTCAAAAAAAGGTATTGTATTCTATACTCGACCAAAGATGACGTGTTCATGGCATGTAAAAGAATTTCATAGAATCTGCAGACAATAAATTAGATCACAGTGGTGGACAAAATGGACATAAAAGGCAAAGATCAGTTGAGATGAATACAGCTGTCCCTTCATGATTAGAAACTTATCTACAAATTGGTGAAACCAAGCCTCACGCTAATTTATAGCGAGTCCAAAGATTTCTTAACTCGGTAAGAAGTCATCTCCAAAGATGGGAAATTGTATCAAGAGAGTTAACTGAAGTATCATCGAATGTGTAAGCAACATAAACATATAAATATCATCGAATGTGTAAGCAACATAAACATATAAAAAAGAACTCCATCTTGAATATAAACTTTTTTGAAGAACTCTACCTGCGAGCTGTGCAAACTATGCCAAGGATGCGTATGGTTTGTTTTAAATTTCGCGCAAAGCTAAACGAGGGCTATTTGCGCTAAGCGTATTAGCAGTGTAAGACTAGAGAGAAAGCAGCTAGTCATCACCACCACCGCTAACTCTTGGGCTTCTCTTTTACCAACCAATAGTGGGATTGATCGTCACATTATGACGCCCCCACGGCTGAAAGGGCGAGCATGTTTGGTGGGAAGAGGAATCGTGGAAGAACAATAAAGACTTTTCGTTACCATGGCTAGCCCCCTCTCCCACCCCCACACAGTTACTCAGCGGTAACTCTGCATGCTTACAACTCAAAAACATTGGGTTTCGATATCCGTGCTGAGAAGAGCACAAATAGATAATTGTGTAGCTTTGTGCCGAATAGCAACCAAACCAAACATTGGGTTTCGATATCCGTGCTGAGAAGAGCACAAATAGATAATTGTGTAGCTTTGTGCCGAATAGCAACCAAACCAAACATTGGGTCTCGATATCCGTGCTGAGAAGAGCACAAATAGATAATTGTGTAGCTTTGTGCCGAATAGCAACCAAACCAAACATTGGGTTTCGATATCCGTGCTGAGAAGAGCACAAATAGATAATTGTGTAGCTTTGTGCCGAATAGCAACCAAACCAAACATTGGCTGCAAAATTACGACTGTGTACATTTTGGAGATAGACAATCACCATAATTAATGGTTAATAGCTTTATTACTACTTTGTTTTTATAAACTAATTATCACTCGGTAGTCGTAATTGTTCAGTGTAGTTTTTAAATATTTTCGTGGGTACAGGTTGGCCCTGTGGTAAAGCTGTGGATTTCGGAGCTGGCAAGCTGCGTTCGAATCCGTGCAATGCTATACAATATTCCCTGTAGTTTAAGCTATTGGTGTATTATAAGAGTGACAGTCAATTTCTTAGCGTGAATGGTGGTTGGTATAGGCTGTTGACTGGTTGCCTTCCCTCTGGTCAGTAGTTCAAAATTAGGGACTGCTGCAGACAGCCTTAATAACTTTATCATAAATACAAATATAAAATTTAAATATCCTTCTAACAATGACAGATTTTGAAGCTGTATTTGAAGAGGATTTAATAGGAACTTCTGAATTAGGATATCAAAGAATGATTCAAGAAGCACCAAGTATACCTTTATTGAGGGAGTTGTTTGATTAATAAACTGGTAACTATACAGTGGACTTGGCTATTTAATTGCTGGAGTGATGAATAAAAATGCAGTGGATTTAATTCTTTAATTAAATGACTGATAAATATTCACTGACCTTAGCTCTTAGCTAATAGACTAAGGAATGTCTACTGAACTTTACTGATTAATTCCTGGACTACTGAATATCCACTTAATTTTGCTGTTGAATTGGTAAATTGATGATTATCCATTGGATGTTGATTATTTAATTCTTGAACTGGTGATGATCAAGTGAGTACGGTAATAATTATCCACTGACGTCAACTATAAAAGTACTAGACTGTTGCATGTGTACTCGGTTTCTTTGTTTATTGAATTTCGCGCAAAGTTACTTGAGGGCTATCTGTGCTAGCTCTTCAAAATTTTGCAGTGATAGATAAGAGGGAAGGCAGTTAGTCAATACCACCCACTGTTAACTCTCAGACTACTCTTTAATAAAAGAAAAATTGGATTGATCATTACATTATAATGCCCTCATTGCTGAAATGGCGAGCATATTCGGTGAAGGGATTCGAACCCGACACTTGCAGATAGCAGGTCGAGTACCCTAACCGCCAGGCCATACCATGTCGCTCCTGTACTAGGTTTAGATGTTGAATTAATAAACACGTTTGTGTTCGTTGGGCTTAACTACTGGATTAATAAAATTGTGCTATTTTTCTTATCCAAGTTGTTGATAGTGTGGTATTTACTGGTAAACTGATTCCCCAAAAAAGTAAATTAGGTAGGTCCACTATATAACGGTAATTCTGGCAATATAGATTGAGAAATAATACTGAGTTCTGCTAAGACTAACAGAATCTGTGCTGATAGATAAATATCGCAAACACAATGTGCGTACTTTCGTTGAACTAGAGTTGTGAAATGATCAGACTGGCTCTACTTCCTCAATACTTGTTTCCAAACTGACCAACTCGGGCTAGTTGATGTTTCAGGCAGTCTAAATCTTACTTTCACGCGTAAAATTGTCAACATCAAACTTACCCAGAGCCACACGTGTTTTGTTATTCCCATTCAATCATTGGAGGGCGCTGCTGTCGACCTTCACGCACAAGATGCATCTTTACAGCTATACTTCCCATGGGTAGACCGGATATTATCTGCAAGGGAAGGACAATGAAATCAACAACTTTCTTGACAACGTGCTGTGCAAAAACTGCATAAACCTAGAATAAATGAATATTTTTGAAAAATTTACATCAAAATAAGTTAGAAAACATATGGTATGCTTGCGAACCACATTAGTATACCAGTTTACTAAATTAGTGGACCTTGCAATGAATTCCATTCATGCAACTCTTATAACTGTGCTTGCCAGAATAACTCAGAAGACTCGGAAGCTGTAAGATTGTGTTATTTGTGAGTGATGATTATTGATATTAGCCAGTAGCCATTAATTATATCCACTCACTTGTAAATTAATGAATATCCACCGAACTTGATTAAGTTAGGTCTTCCAGTTAAGTTATTCAGAAAGTAAGACTATACCAATGCGTAAATTGTGATGATATCCCAATATCACTTTGAGTTGTTTAATTAAATATGTTACATATACATAGTGGCTGACGAAGCAAAGAACCGCCATCGTCATCGTTGGCTATTTTTTTTTATTGAACTCAATAAAGATAGGCTTACGATAAACAGTATATTTAATGCGTTATCTTTTTGTTTAAAAACAAAACAAGACCTAAACGTTAAGTAGAGTTTATAGTTCTTAAATGTATGGTATTTGAGCGCCAAGTTAAATAGACGTTCTTAACGATCTAACGAAATAGCATTGGTACGTGGTAAGTGACGATAGCTATTGATTTCTTGGTTCAAAATTAGTTACACCTTACCTTTTTCAGGGACTGTGACAATTACGGTAAGTTTTGCTTAGAAAACACAAATCAGCTAATATTAAACGCCATGCATGTGGGTCTTGTCGATAACACTGGGAGACCGGCACCTGCCAGTGCAGCCATTAGCCAGCTTTCCACATTTACACAATGAGCAATTAACAGATATCAATCGATAACCATCAAACCAGGACAGATCCACTCTGTAACGGATAAATGATTCGAAAAGAAGCTCGTTGCTTACCAGAACTATATCTGTGCATTTTCCTTGAGCTGCCATTACGCCGAAACCATTAATTATCAGGTTATTAAATTATCAGTAATAATAATAAAAAAAGACAGCGGGAAAAGTATGGAAATGACAAAGAAAATTGTGCTCTAATTGTTCTCGAACGAAGCTGCATTGTTCCATGTCTTAATTAAAGAGGCGCGTTTGTTTGCGCTTAATTATACTTCTCAGGAAAGAAACCTTTTTCTAGAACATCCGGTGAGTTCTACTTTATTTTGTGGCTAAATGAATAGTTATATTAAAGGAAATTGTATCGTTTTAATATGATGAGAGAAAATGCAGCAGAATGTTGAGCAGTTCATCCTATTTACCTCCTCCTTAGTTTTAAAAACTTTAGACGCTACAATTAAGATTTAACATTAAATTCTTAAAACTTCAAGAAAAAATAATGAAAGTACAGTAAAACAAATAGAGTGGAGTCACTCACGATCACCTGTCAAGTTCCAGTAAAATGGAAATATTTAAAATAAATTATAAAACTGAATAAAGAAGCTAACAACATTTAATACTGTTCTGATATCATCTGTTTCAAGATATGTTTACCAACTAATTACTAAATAGAACAAAATTAAACATACGCGTTTTTATAGGATGTATATGCCTAATATAAGCTCTCATTATAATAACTGTTTGTCCCCCAGTGGCACAGCGGTATGTCTGCGGACTTACAACGCTAGAAACCGGGTTTCGATACCCGTGGTGGGCAGAGCACAGATAGCCCTTGTGTAGCTTTGTGCATAATTAAAAACAAACAAACAATAACTGTTTTGTAGACAGAAATATAACAGATTCCTCACAGCCTTGATATTTGCATGTTTATTTTTTAATTTACTGGATCATAGTATACATAATTACGAATAAATAAAACTACAGTCAACTTCAGAGAATCTTACAATTTACTACATTTGCTCAATGTTTCGGCTCTATGCCTTCATGAGAAACGTAGTTGTTGTATCATATTTGATAGAGCTCACTACAGAAATTGTATGCTTCTGATAAAGGCGAAACGTTGAGCAAATAAAACAATATGAGAGATTCTCTGGGGTGAAAATTACTTTTTTTTTCAACAGTTCAACAACTACAATAAATAACAGCCTAGAAAGGTGTTTTAATTGAAACTTCTTCCAAATTAATTTTCTTTCCACTTTCGTTAAACTTATTCAGTAAGGCCTAAAATGTTGAACTAAGAATCGTTAACTACATTGTTTATATTCCAGATTTATAACTCTGTCACAGGAGGTATAAAAACGTATTCGTTATGCCCACAATGTACTTCTGAGATACGTTAACAAACTATGTGACAGTTTTCTTCAAAATAGAAGAAAAGGAAGGTTAAGAAGATTATTTAATTTCTACACAAAAACTTCGAAATAATTGTGTTACGACAGCGGAAGTCGCGTGACTCTGGGAGCATGTGCGCTGGAGTTTCTCGAATTATCGGAGGACCCCGCGAATGTCCGAGTGTTTGCTAGACGCCCTCTTTTTTAGCATATAAGCCTGGCTAAGAAAGCCAGCGATAGATATAGATAGATAATTAAAGAAGCGAACAGTAGTGGCGGTAAGTAAAGTGTGTGATATTTTTAGCATATATTATAAAAATATTTAAGTTAAAGGTGACGAGAGGCGTATTGATTGTGCAATTACTGTGTACTAAAAGCTTGTATCCAGGAAAAATAAACTGGTTTAATCAAGAAAGGACTTGTATCGCTGAAGTTCCTCGGATAGAATTTATACCGGAAATTAACAAACAAGCAAATACGCAACAACTGTTTTAAAAACTTTTGTTACGCTTTCTTTTCTCTGTTAGTTTCTGTTTGCCAATTTTTTATGTTCATCTACGTGTTAGAAATATAATGTAAAATAATCATTGTCAGTTTTATAATAGAATTATTATGGACAGCTATAAACTATTTTTAACCGTCTATGTAGTAAAGCACTAAAGCAATTCATCTAGTGATATTGATAAAATTCACCGTTATAATACAGAACATACAATACATACTATAAAGTAACTTCATAACGAAGATCGGCTACACGAACACTTAGATTAAGTAAAAATATTAGGCCTATTACTGTATTTAGAATATCATGAAAATCTATTAGTGTTATCCGTCTTATGGGCTGGCTGTGGCCTAGTGGTTAGCGTTTCGGACTGTGAAATTATAGGATTTATGGTTCGCAGCCTATTGCTGCAAGAATGCACTCTACACTTTCGGACCATGTTCGCGTGCTATAAAAGTGACAGTCAAATCTTACTCTTCGGTTAGACAATAAAGAGCTGGCGGCGGTGGTACTGTTCACTAACTGCCTTCGTTCTAGACTGTTAATTTAATATTAGGGACGGCTATGAGCATATAATCCTTTGTTTAGCTTTGGAGAAAATTGTGAAACAAAAATTATCGGCCTAACCAGTTGATATTGAAGAAGTAGATATGATATTCTAAATATCATGCCTACTCTCCTATAACTTCATTTCTCTAATATTCAAGATTAATTTATATTTTTAGACTTCGATTGTCTGTAGAAGTTCACGCCTTAAATCAGTACTTTAAGAAGTTTTCTAGTTACTACCAAATTTAGACCTTCGTTGTGTTTTCATTGGATTGGATGACCTTTAGCATCTTGATTTGGAATTGACCTTTGGGTTTTGGAATCGATATTTCCATGGGAATACAGAATGGTGCCTTTTTGTTATCAGTTAGTTTTTGGTTGGTGAGAACTAAAGAAAAGATGTTTCATGTGATTACAAGTCCAGTAATAGTCTTTGTGTAGTTATGTTTGAGTTTTGATTTATTCAGCAAAATCAGAACGTTTAGTGCCTTTTGCTGTGAAGTTGGTATACAGTGCCTACATGCTACTGCTTTCCAATGTTGAATAAAGTTAAAATTCTTTGTGTAAAATGTAGGCTCTATATTGCCTATTTTCGGATGTGGAATAGACAGATACATAACGAGTTTTTTAAATTTATTATTCATTCATTCCATTCTTGTCCTGACAAACAATTTTCACCTTTCACGTCATCAGTATCAGTTAAATCTTTCTATCTGCTGTTAATATGAGACTAACTTACCTACTTCTATTTTTATAAATCAGATTGCAATAGGATAAGTACTTTTTGTATTTACTATATTTATTCGGAATATCAACACTCAGTAATTTAAGATATTTCGAAATGGAATTATAAGGATTTATCAAGCTTAGGGTCAGCTTTGGTAACATCAAAATCTTAAAACTATCTTTAATTAAAATTTACTACATAGTATTAATACTACCAGACATTTCTTATAATTGATATATCCAGACATGATGTCAGTACATGGTGGCTGTAATTTGTCGGGTCGGGGATGACCTAGAGGTCTTCCCTCTGATCAGTAGTTCTAAAGCAGGGATGACTGTGTCTGAATCGTAAAAGGCTCCGATCTGGCTGTTTAAATCACGTGTCGCGTAAGGGTCCGTTTAGGTTGAAAACAGAAAATAGTAAAAATTAAGTGTTACGGGAACATATAGAAGTGCCACAGCTCCAATTTGCCATTGTTATACAGACAGGATAAAGCATAAGATATTGCTGGTCGTTTTTTTTTTCGTTAAACTAGGTTTTTCACTAACATTCATTCTTCTAGTGTATCAATACACGAATAAAGTCCACTCAGTATAATTACACACATATTCATTAATGTGAGTTAACAAAGTATCCTCTTTTCTACTTGAACGACCCCTTATGTATAAAAGGGAATAAACGACCAGGTCGGAAACACTTGTATTCAATCGGCCCTAATTTTGAACAGTGGACCAGAGGGGAGGCAGCATTCGCCGCCTAAAGCGGGTATTCTTAACCGAATAGTGGATCAACTGTCACTCTTATAACACACACACATGCACAGCCAAAACTCTCGAATTCTAGACCATTGGAATCCCATTTCGATACGCTAACCATTATATCACGCTTCATGCTTTGCTATTTTCTATTTATAAA